CCCCCATCCCTGTACACAGCCAGTATTTTTAGGTCCTTCGTTCAAAGTTAAAGTTCAATTCTGAGGCCAATCTATCACTTCAGCTGCACTTTCAGATGACTTCATTGTTTTTACCTGACCTAATTTTTTAAAAACTCTTTAGCCCTCGTTGTCAGTTGTTTGTGTTTGCTCTCTTGCACTGGGCTTTCAATGCACCTGACAGTTCCCTGTTTCCCTCCTACAGAACCTGTTGGAACAGTTTGCTCCTCCAAAATGCAAAGCCAGCATCAAAGTGTGTAGCAGACCTGAGCAGTCAGAGCACGCAGCTTCCTGAACTAAGATATTATTGCCCCTGCAAATTTCATAGCGATTTCACCAGATCTCCTGCTAAAGGGACTGAGACGTGGGCGTGGGGACACACTCACCTCTGAACTGATCGGTAATGGCCGTACAGGTGCTAGCATTCGTGGCACACATTCTCCAGACATCTGCAGAAAAATTATCTCCCACCCACCAGGCCTGCAAAATAGAGGTAAAGGGCTCTTACAGGAGAAAACCAAAACAAAAGCACAGAAGTCCTCAGTTGTCCGAGAGTCTCCTGATCAGACACACCAGCTGGAAGAAATTTCCATTCAGTTTTGATAATTAACCGTTCAAACTAAATCTGAGCTCTAACGGCACTTTGGAACAGAGGGTGTATCATTAGTCACATGCCATTTCCACTTTAGACCTGTGCAAAGTGGAACAGGGAAGAGATGGCAGCTGTAACCATCCCAGTGCGCAAGGGATTTTCCGCTGTTTAGGCAGAAATTTGGGACAGTCAGTGACGGCTTGCTCCTTGAGCTACCTAGTCAAGATCTGCTTTGTCCACCCAGACCCAGTTTAGGACGCACGCCTCTTTCAAGGCACAGCACCTTCACATCTGCGGGAACAGCAGGGAGCACACCTACGCCACAGACACCGCTCACGTTTTCTGGTTCCTGACACTGAGCTGAGTTAAGCTCAACTCACTGCAGCTGTGCTGTCAACGCGCAGATGCACCCTCCAGCATCTGACCGGGAGCGGCCAGCGACAACTGAAGATCCTCCTGTGGTATTTCTATTTTGACATTTGAACATTTAACACAGAATAGCGCTCCAGTGACTGAACAGATCTCTACAGTAGCCTGAGAAACGCTGCAAGCACTCCACACGAGTGGCATTTCCTCAGGAAACCCATTCCCATTCCGATAGCTGTCCAGGCCCTTGTTTGGACTGGAGCTGGAAAAATACGACTTTCAAATACGAGTCCTGGTAGCATCTGCTGCTTAAACAGCCATTCCAGAAAACTCACAGCTTACTGTGCAGCTTTGCAAAGAATTCTGCGATAAAAACTATAATGTATTACGACAGTAGGCGTATCTGTAGTAGTAACACGCCGTTTTCAGAAAAAGCATTACTTCCTCAGGATGCCATTCATCTGGATTTTGCAGCCCAAGTTCAAGATCTGATTTTTCAGCTCTGAGCACTACCTAATCCTTTCAGAGTTATTTTTATGGCTATAAAAAGCCTCTGAAGATGATAAAATCTAATAGAAGGTGGTTATGCAGTTTAAGCTCATAAATGTTTCAAAGTAGCTACTGACACAAAGCAGAGTGCGTGGGGGTTTATTTCTATAACAATTTCATCTGTATGTCACAGACCTGAACTAAGAATAAGCTGCTTTGTCCACCGTCCCAGCTTTCTGAATATTCAGCGGAGCAGGGTAAGACAACCTGCTTTTAGCGCTCAGTTAATGACCTACTTCAGCGGAACAAACCACCCAGCTGACTGAAAGGTAACATCTGAGTTCGTACGATTCTGCAATAAAACATTGTGGGTGACGCATTGTTTCACTCAGAGGACGGTCTCGGAAAAGACTACGGGATTCGAACCAGCTTCACTGAGTACAGTAAAGTATTTTCAGCAGACAATTTTTTAAATCCCAAAAGCCTGTACATACACTGAACATCTTCCAGAACAGAAGACTCCAGTGCACAGTTAAGAATGCCAGTTGGGATAGCGGGCTGTTTTAGAAAGAGGAAAATTCAAATTAAAAGCTAGATGTAAATATTGGAAGGTAAATTCTTTCTGGTCACAAAAATAAAAAGGAAATTTGACAAGAATGCAACATAGATTATTCTATAACTTTGTGCTGAAACTGCTGAACTGAGTGGAAACAGATAAATTCATGGTGTCTCATTATTTAATTGGGCATCTCGGACAACTGCTTCGGAGGCCAAGCACACCTCGACTGAGATTATCCCCACGCATTAATCATGAGCTATTTAACTTCATGTACTCAACAGAAAGGGACGAGAGATTTCCTCCCCCTTCCCTCGTATCCAGCTGAGCCAAGCCCCACAGCTCCACCCCACAGCACGGCCATGTTTGTAAACCTGCTCCCTGGCCAAGCGTCCCGCAGGGAGAACATGCGTGGCACCACCTGGCCCTCCGACGTGCTGCCGTACCGGTCTGCGGCACGCACCTGTACAGCCCTGCCCAGGGGCACCAGCGACACGCGTGTCCACGGCATTTTTGTGACAAAAAGGTACGAGCGGACCGGTGTGCCTAACAAAGCTACGTGCTTTCAATAAGCAAGTTGAAGACAGCTACAGAAGAATTATTTCATTTCTATGGAGCAACGAAACACTGGCGTGTTTGAGAGAAAAAGAGAGGACACTTACATTGTCAATCGTTGAGATGAACAGCAGTGCTGCCGAGGTGATGTGAAACACAATAATGAAAGCCAGCAGAATCAACATCCTTGATCTGTGGAGGCTTTACTCCGAGATAAATCTGTTAAAAATAAGAGCGTATACGAACAGTCAGCTGATCAACCTGTCACTATGCCCTTTCACCGTGGCTGTGAGCAGTCAGGGTCAGCGTGTGTGCATGTCAGAGCGAGGTGCGGTTCGTCAGGAACTTCGTATGCAGTTTGAGCCTGCAGCAGGCACCCTTTCTCCAGAGGTAAAAAATTTCACCTAATCAGACTTTACAGCAGCATAGCAGCTTTCTGTTTGTTACATGCGACACGCAACTAGCATCACTGGCGCTAAAACGAATCAGAACCTGCAGCGGAGCCAAGAGGTGCACTTTGCAACGTGCCGGTGGGATGGCTGCAGTGAGCGAACCCACAGAGGAGTTTCTTTCTGTGCGCTTCTCCAGCCAGGATACGAAACACTCCTTCACGGTGATTTTTAGAGAAGCGCTTTTCCAATTACAGCCTCATTTGCACGGGAGGCTAGATTTTCCACTGGCTACAGTCAGGCCTTGTTTCAGCCAGGCTTTCAAGGCAGGAGGGGACGCAGATTTCAGAAGGGTGCTTGTACAACAAAAGCTACGTGCATCAGGAGCTGCCTCCTGCATTTACCGACAGCTGTGTTGCACCTTAGGTCGCGTGTGGGTTGTCCTGTCTTCATACAAGATACAAGTGTTACCACTGATGAATGACTTGAGGCTACCATTTTCCCCAATATATTGCTCGGACTGGTAGGGTTGAATAAACCCATTAGTCACAGAATAACCCAGTTGGTTATGTTACGTTCAGTCAGTCAATAGTCTCTCTAGTCTACCTGTTATCTTCATACCTTATCTAACCCATTCATTACCATTTCGCATCTCAAATGAAAAAAATTAAAATTCTTATGTATAAAGGAACCACAGACTCTATTTGACCTGGAGTCCCCAGGAAATCTGTGCGCACATAACAAATAGCTCAGGGAAAACTACTGCTATTCATACATGGAAATGTACAATTGCTCGGTATATCTATTACCTTTTTATTCTTGTCGTGTAAAAATGCTTGCCAGTTAGTAAAGGCTACATGCTGTAAGGAATCTGCAGCCTTGCAGCTGTTTCCACTGCATTTAATGCGCGCCATTCTGCAGCATTATCTGCGTGTTACCACTCATCAGTACATTAACGAATGTTTCTCCACCTACTTTGCTTCCGACACGTTCTGCTATGTCAAAGGATCCCATTCAGTGTAACACACCACGTATCCAGAAGAAAACGCATTATGGGTTTTTTTTTTAAGACTTCCATGATTTTTTTCATCTCTAACCCTCTCTCCCCTGCTGCCATTTACTAGAATCACGAACCACACAGAGAATTTAACCAAATACAAGGACTACTTTGACAGCGGTTTTAAAGCAGCTCCACTGGCATTCTCATCAAGCCAAGACCCAACTACTCTGCAAAACTTTCCCAAGCAGGTAACAGACAGCATCTAAACCCGCTGACTAGAGACCAGGAGTTCCCGCCCAGTCCCTTCCATCTCCACCGCAGCACAGCCTTGCTCTGCCGTACAGCGATACAACCTGCACAAAGCCAGACAGTATGACAGGGCTTTTGACAAACTGGGAACTGATCGGATACTCTTCTGACCATATCCCATTGGAATGACTGTATGGGAAAGCAAAGTCGAATCCTAAAACAAGGGAAGCAGCTGCTCAACTTTCTATCCCTTCCCATGTTTTCACTGTTAAACTTTGCCTTCACAGCCACAACAAAGACCAGAAGCGCCAGTCTCCTCCAGAGATCAGCCGCTGCTGTATGACTCACGATCCCCTGAAGCGAGTTCTGCTTCTAGAAATGTCATTCACGGCTCTCTGTCAAGCCTTTCCTGAATGAAAGGAAGGAAGAAGGAAAAGAAGATATTTTGTGGGTTTGTGTAACACCACATCGAAATATTTTCATTGTAAAATGTACCAGTCTTCACAGAGCACTCGCTTGTCCCGTGGTTCGGTTTTTCTGCGTCTCGTTTGTTGCACAGACGGCATCTAAGCAGACGCTAGTGCAACTGCCATCTGCCATATAAGGAAAGAGAATCAAATTGTCCTCGGTATTATTTTAAGAATAACAATACAATTTCATTTTATTACATGAAGCATCATGAAGTAAGAGAGACAGAAAAACGTAACCTAATTAAAACCAATCTTGCAAAGTCAGGACTTGCCAGCACAGAAGGATCCACTTCAGTCAAGTGACTGTGCTTGTTTTGCTGCTCTCAGCCACAAACAGCAGCGTTTCACACAGGGTGGATAAACACCTATGGGTGACGAGGAGAAGACGGTTTGTGTTTCACCCAAAGAAAGCCAAGATTGAATCAAAGAGCTTTTTGCTTTGTTTTTACAAAAAAGTAAAGGACAGTACGAATAGTTTGATGCTTCTGCTCTGAGAAACCTTCCTAACAGCCATTTTTAGACACTTCCTCCCGACCTCCCAGCAATGACTCCTTTCACAAGCTGCTACAACTTCTGTACACACAGTGCTACAACCACACAGATACGGGAATTAAATACACTGGGGGAAAGGAAGGAGACAGACCGATTCCAAGTAATTAACACCAGGAAAAGACAACAACAACTTGTTACCCAATCTGTCATGCCTGAGCCGGGACCCAGAAATGCATAGAGAGATCTGGGAACTTCAGTCACTCCTAGGAACTCTCTCTTCCCACGGAGCCAAAGCCGGAGTGTCCCTGGTTCATCGCAGCCGGCGCAAGGAGTCGTCAGGGGTAGAGGCTCTCCTCGCTAACCTCTACCGCAACCCACATGCAGGAAGCCAAGAGCAGCTCCCTTCTTCTAAGATGCAGCCAGCAATGAAGCAGAGGGTCCTACAGTATCTGCATCCCTCTCAAGGCAGAGTCATGCCAGACTTCATCTCTCAGAGGCGACCATCAGCATCCAGTCCTCCTCCACTTCAGACAGTGCTGCAACTTCAAAGTTTGCTTTGGAGACTCGAGATCCTTCCACTCCCTCAGCAAGCAGCTCTTCCTTCCCCGACCCTCAGACCACAGCCTGCCTGAGTACCTCTCCTCGCAGCAGGCAGCTCCGCTCCGCTCCTCTCCTCTCCTCTTGATGAGCAAGGGAAGGACACAGTTACGTTTACACACAGAGAATTTATGGGAACACTGTTTGCATGAGTATTCAGAATTCGTACTGTAATAATTTATTACCAGCCAAACACTCTGGTAACATCCTATTCTGCGTATGAGCGGTAGTCCTTCCTGTGTCTTATTCACCATTAGCTCTTTCTCGAGGGCTCTCTTCAGGTTCCCAATTGTTCGGCTCGTTCAGCAGCAGCCGAGAGCCCGGCCGCAGCTTGCCAAACCAACAGCGAGCCGCCTGGCAACAGCTTTTGCCTCACGCTTGCAAAATGGAGGGTACCTGCCAGAGCAAAGGAGCCAGCACTACCGTTTGACCCGGCTGAGCTAGTCCTGCTCAACACAGCAACCAGCAATCTGGCCTACATTAAAAGCCTATAATCTCTTACATTCCATTTACGCAGCAACAAGAACATGTTGCTTAAAAGAGGTTGTTAGTAAGAACAGAAAATAGATTTTTAAATCACATAATTTGGGGACTCTAGCACTTTATACTATTGCACTGAACAAGAATCCGCAAACAACTATATTAAGCAGATGCACAGAAATGATCAGACTCTTCAAGTAAAACTTTGGCATCCATGTGTGACGTGACATGATGTGACGTGGGGTCCTGCTGTACTTTGTTCCATTGCTGTTTTGCAGCTTTGGAAGCACTGCCCTATTATCAGTGCTAATACATGCTGCTATGAAGACATTTCTTGCTCTTACAGGAGTCTTGCTCTTAAGCGAAGCATTGCTCAACTCTTCTGGTTTAGTCTCTGGATTACAGGTAAGAGCATTTGTATTGATCACACAAAGCTTCTTGGACAGTCATTTTTTACTTCTATCATTTGAAGTAATATGCGCTACCCCCTAAGTCAAGGTTGTTTCGATTTTTAAGTACATTGCCTTTAGACATGGATGAAGACTGGGATGATGCAGCAGATACTGCTCATCATTCCCCAGAAGGGTCTGAATTCTTTTAATAGTTCTTACACCCCCCCCCCCCCAAAACCTTTTTGGACACACTATAGAGGCAAGACTGTGACTGTTGACTAGAGGCAACAGTCACAAGTTACAGCAAGGACTATTCCAATTGTGAAAAATGTGTTCATTATACTCAATGACCATGATTAAGCACTGGACCAGGGCCCAAGAGGCTGTGGGATCTCCATTCTTGGCCATCTTCATAACTTGACTGAAGCAAGGCTGAGGGCATCCTGAACTAACTCCCTGCCTGGAGCAGGAGGCTGGACTCGGGACCTCCAGAGGCCCCTTCTGGCCCCACTCTCCCGTCCATCCACAGCAATTTCAGGAACCTCCCTGTGCTAACCTCCAGCAACGCCCTGACATCAGAGAACATAAAATTTGACTTCGCTCAACACACGTGACATTAAAAACATATTTTGGGGTTATGGTAAGAATGACATTGGATGTCAACATGAATTCTTCAGTTGGAAGCCTCACCGTTTAATGCCACTTTACAAAGTACGCTGTAAGGCAGAAATGTACAGGTACAGCTGAGTTAGAAGAGCAGGCTGCCAGCGAATCCAGAAAGAGCAAGTGACGAGGATCCTACTGAACGCATCCAGACTGGCTGGGGGAACAGGGCTCCTCACAAACGCTGTGAAGTGCAGGACACTTACAGAAAGCACACTGAAAGCAGAAGGCCCGTTACAGTAACAACAAAGATTTTTTCAATTAGTGCAGAAGACCTGTTTCTGGGTATTAGTCCAGTGCTACCTTCTTTCACACAGGGAGGACAACTGCCGCAGCCACAATTAACTTTCACCTTTTCAGTAACACAGGCTGTTGGCAGCAGTAATGTGCACTTTCGGTATGAGAGCCTGATGTGCTTTAGACGAGGCGGCTAAGCAGGGCCTCTGCTCTAACCTTCCAGACGTGCAGAGGCGCGTACCTCTTCACC